TAATTTAAGTTTTTGTCTTTTTTCTCTAACAAAAAAAAAAAAAAAACTGAATAAAACTAACGGCAAAGATTGCATTCAAAATTAGCCATTTAATTATCGTGTACATCTACATATCTAGCATGATCAAGGAGTTATCACAAAGTACAAAATCGTAGATAAATTTTCATAGAAGTTGAAAACTTGACTACGCAAATACTCAATATCAATATCAAGATTTTTAACAAAGATAAACAAAAAAATCATAAACATACCTACAATAGTCAAGACAGAAAATGCATTAATTGTTTGAATTTCCTGACAAAAGAAACATCAAGAAAACAACAAAGAAAGATTACTCAAGACACCGATCAATTAAAAACAAAAATGTGTCCTCAATTCAATTCCAACAATCTCTCTAATGGCCTGGCTAAAAAACAAAAAAGAAAGCAAGGAGAATGCAATCAAAAAAATGTGAATACGACTGACAACTGATGTTAATTTTAACTTAGGGTTAGGGTTTTGAAATCAGAGCCCCAATCGCACAACTATTGTAAATGAAGCTTAGAGTTAGAAACAAACCTGAGCTATGGAAAAGAGCTCTCGAAAAGATTCGATTCGAGTCGACGGGAAGATAAACGACTCCACTCGACAGGAAGATAAAAGACACCGGCTAGGAGGTCTTTGCTCACAAACCCATGATGGAGAACACTGGATTGCCGACGGGGATGCTGGTCTTCAGCTATATGAAAGTTGTTTGACATGATAAATTAACAATATATAAATAAAACACTAATTTAAAACAGCACGATATAATAATATAAAAAAATAAATGTGTAGAGTTTAATGTTACAATAGTGATAGAGGTCTCGAATTTAGCTCGAATAGTGTTTTTTTTGGGGGGGGGTTGCTGTGTTAGTTTTTTTTTTTTTTGTAAGTCTAATATAAAATATTATACATTTCCCACCAACTCATCATATAAAATTATATGAAATTAACAAAATTTAATCAACAGTTTAATTAATCAGTCAATTTTATCACTTAACCAGTCCAACTTAATTGACTGATCAGTTAGACTGTTGGTTAAAATTTGTTAATTCCATATAATTTTGTACGATGAATTAGTATAGGATGTATAGTTTTTTGGCATACCCCTACACATAACCACCTTTAAAAAAAAATTAAAAAAAAAAAGCAACACAGCCTAACAAATTAAATTAAATTAAATTTAAAAAAAATTAATCAGTCAATTTTATTACCCAATCAGTCCAACCCAACTCACTTACAAATTGTCTAATTTTTTAGTACGCCCTTATACATAATCACCCCTATAAAGAAAAGAGAGAGAAAAAAAATTAAAAAAAAAAAACCAAACTAAAACAACTTTTGAAAAAAAAAAAAAAAAATTGATTTCGAGGCAAATTCAAGCCTCAAATTCGAGGCCTCAATCATTTTTCATTATCTAAATAGTTGAGTTATGATGCGGTTATGAAGGAATATGGTATGTATAACTAAATTGTGAGCCAATACAATAATGGTTATAATCTAAGCCTCTGTTTGGGAAGTAGGTTGGCTTTTTGGCTTTTTGGCTTTTTTAGCTATTTTAGCCTGGGCTAAAAAGTTTGGTTTAGGAAGGGCTTTTTGGCTTTTTTGGCTTTTTTTGTGAGAGAAGAATGTAATGATTATGGGTTGGACGTGATATTTTGTTTTTTGACTCGCTTATTTTTTTTTTATCAGCAATGATAATCCTTTATTAATATAAAATTAAAGATTAATTATACATCGAGTATCAATAAAGAAAAGACAAAAGAAAAGGAATCGTGCTATAAGTATCATAGTAAAGAACTTTAATCTCAACTAAGTTGGTACTAGAGGCTAAGGCCAAGTTTGGGAAAGTTGGAAATAATCCATCTTTTTATCTTTTTTCCATCACATCACCTCTTTACTTTTCTGCACATCTTTTCGTAAAAAGACAAAAAGTGCACTTATTTAGGTCATCCCAAACAACACCTAAGTCCAATCATTTGCAACACTATCAAACAGAAATGCTTAAAGAATAATCCACTAAAACAACCAAATCAGAGACCCCCAACTTACTCAAAACAGGGGTGATACAAATGAATAAAGCCCAACCAAATACAAGGTACTAACCACCCCTAATGGACCTAAATCTGAAAACTAAATCATTAACAGAGTAGTTGAAGTTCAGAACTTTATATTTTGCCCAAAGAGCTAGCCTCACTTTAATTAGCCCCTTCAAATCCTCCCTAGAAACAGTAGAGCCTTGGAACTTGCATTCATTCCTTGCCTTCCACAATGACCACATATAGCACATGGAAATGTCTTCCAAAGTTTGTCTTTCACGTTTTCGAACTTGAATCCTTTCCACCACTGCAGTGGCCCCTCAATGGAACCTAGAACAACCCATTGCATTCCCCACCATGATAGAAAATTAGCCCAGATTTTCTACGCAAATTGAAAATGAAGCATTACATGTAACACATTTTCCTCATGAGCCTCACAGAATAGACAAAGAGATCTAGCATTAGCATCAAGAGCACCAACACTTTGTAAAAAAGATGTCTCAGTCGACCTCTCCAAACCAATCAACCAATATGACAGTCTATTAAAATATCTAATGCAACTTTCTTCCTCTCTCATATATTCTCTAATTATTAATCAATCATGCCTTTTACATATCACTGGGTTTAAAGAGTAGGCTTCTATGTCATTTTCATGCATAATCCCAAGATCGTTTTGGGCCATAATTTGGTTTGTATATATGCAAAGCTAACAATACTTTGATTTGATAGATCTCACCACCAATTTAAGTCATAACCAACACCACTTTAAGGCATAATTTGCATATGATAGACGTCATTATAACAAATTAAGGTTTTAAAGAAAAAAATTTAGGGACCAAATCATTTTTTAGATACAAATGTGTTTGATAACGTTTACGTTTTCAGTTTATATTTACAAAAATTTTATAAACTGGTTTTTGTTTATTTTTAGAAAAACATAAACTACATTGGAACTAAAATTTTTGTCTTAAAAAATAAACCTTTTAGGTGACCAAATTAGTTTGTCCCCGAAAGGGAATTTATTATCGACATTTTCAAAATTTTGTCAATAAAGTCATTTTTTTAACTTTTCGGAACAATATGAAAATTGGACATTAGTGATGAATTATTATCATTTTGGGACCAAATTTTTTGTCTCAAACAATAAACCAATTTGAGACCAAATTATTTTGTCCCTAAAAGTCTATTTATTAGTGACATTTTCAAAATTTTGTCGTTAAAAGCCTTGTTTTTGACTTTTCGGGATGACCTTTTGGCGACTATCTTCACAACGATAAAAATTGGTTTCTAAATGTCTTTTGTAACAAAATTTTCACTTTTGGAAACTAAAAAATTTGGTCTTTAAAACACTTATATGTTGTAGTGCTTTTATGTCATTTTCATGCATAATCCCAAGATCTTTTTGGGCCATAAAAAAATAAAAAAATAAATAAATCTCTTTGGTTTGTATATATGCAAAGCTAACAATACTTTGATTTGATAGATCCCACGACCAATTCAAGTCATAACCAACACCACTTTAAGGCATAATTTGCATATGATAGACGTCATTATAACAAATTAAGGTTTTAAAGAAAAAAATTTAGGGACCAAATCATTTTTTAGATACAAAATATTTTAGTTACCAAAAGTGTCATTGTTGTATTTTTAGTAACGAAATTGAACATTTAATGATGAACTCCACCATTTTGGAACTAAAATTTTTGTCTTAAAAAATAAACCTTTTAGGTGACCAAATTAGTTTGTCCCCGAAAGGGAATTTATTATCGACATTTTCAAAATTTTGTCAATAAAGTCATTTTTTTAACTTTTCGGAACAATATTTTAGTGACTATTCTTATGATAATAGAAATTAGTCCCCATTTTTTTTAAATAAAATTTTCACTTTAAGAAACATAAATTTGATCGTTAAAACTCTTATATATCGTAGCGACCTTTTATACTTGGCCATTTATGGAACATTATGAAAAAGCTAACAATTGGTTTAAAGATATCTTGAATATGATTAGATATTAAGTGCAACACTGATAACATGAGATATTGGTCATATTGCATTATTTTTATTTAATTATTTTTCTCATCCATCTTTGTAGGCATAGAAGATAGAATCATGCCATGCATCAGGACCTGTAAATATGGGCCAACGACGATGATATCAGTCCAATGAGTCTATTGAGGGGTTTATGGGCACCAATAATCTTGTTTTATCTTGGAGGTCCAGATACCATGACTGCTTGGAAGAAAATCAAATGTGGATGAGGCACGCTATAGGACTATTTACGCAAGGTCTAAGAACAATTTACATCCTAATTCTAACTTGGACTTCTGCCTTGAGGTTCTCTTTTGGCCTTGTTAATGCTCTTTCCTGGACTTATCAAGTATGGAGAGAGAGTGTGGGCAATCAAGTCAATATCCAAGAAAAAGTATGTGGGTTTTGTTCGAATTGATGAAAACACAATTGGCAAAATAAGTAGGTGCACAACCTAATACGGAGCTAGTGCTCCAAGCCTATTCTTATTTCCAGACCTAAATCCTCATATTTCCAATTATGAGTGTGATAGGTCCAAAGCAAACAAATCACTGCTGGAAAATTGACTTTTAGCGGAGTTTCAAAAATGCCGCTATAGACCTAAGAAACGCCGCAATAGGTTTTTATGACGTTTTAAATTTTCGTCGCAGATACCGCCGCCACAATACCTTAGCGATGTCTCAAAAACGTCGCTAAAAACATTAGGCGGCATTTTTAAAAACGTCACAAAATCTTCAACAACCACTACGTAATGATGACATCATTTAGTGGCATTTTTCCAAACGCCACCTTTCTTCATTTTCATACTTGCCTCGCATATGATGTCATGATGACATCATTTAGTGACTTTTGTTTTCCAAAAAAACACCTTTTTTTTTTAATAACACAAAGCCCAATTAATTGAGAATTTAACTAGGAACTGAGATTGAAAAATTAACTAGAGAGAGAGAATTAACTGAGAATTTATATAAAAGAACACATATTAGCTCAAACTTGCACATGACTGAAACGAAAACTTTCTCAGCTAAGAAAAGGCAAAAAAAAAAGAAGAAACAAACAAAAGGAAACGGCAAGCCTATGGTATAAGTTCAGATGGCAAAGGGACCGAAGAGAAGTTTACAGGGACAACTGATTGGCAAATGATCTCTGATTTGGGATAAGAGTTCCTTGAAACTGATGATCTCTCAAACAACCACTGCAGTCTTTCTGCAAATGGGACAGTTATTCTTCTGCACGAGCCATTGTTTGATGCAATTGAAGTGAAACTCATGCCCACAATTCAGCTTACCAAGCTCCTTTCCATCAACATAATCCTCCTGGAATTTGATTCAATAAATGGAAGCATCTGGTATAATAGGGAGCTTTAACTTGAGAAAAAATAGACCCCATGAATTGGTAACTCCCTTCCTCTTAACTGCCAGAACTGGGTGTGGGGAGAGATGGTGAGTTGAATGGAGTTTGGTAATAAATACACTTAAAAAGTAAAATATTTGTGGGAAAAAAAATCTTCAAAAATTTCACTAAATACCAAAAATACGTAACTATAAAAATTCAATACGTTTACGTATTATTGTGTCTTTATTGATTTTTAAAATATTTTTTCACAAGTATTTTACTTTTTAGGTGTATCTAGGTTAGGTGCATCTAGAAAGTAAAAAATTTGCTTAAAAAATTAAAAAAATTCACTAAAAACAAAAAAATAAAAAACTCAATTCTTAGAAAATCAATCAAAACCACACAAGGTGATTAATTTTTTCAATTTTTTTTTCTTCTTTTTAGATCCCTCTAGACTAGTCAGACATAAAAATAAATTTTTTTTACACGAATCTAAAAAAAATTCACTAAAGACAAAAAAATTGGAATAATATGTGACTTTTTTAGCCGATCCCAAATAGATAAGTTGCAAGACAAAGAATTTAAGTGTCCCTTACCTGACAAATACAGCACGGTTCCTCTTCCACTGGAGGTCCTAATTTCATTGACAGATAACAATGCTGCCTCACAGCTGCCAAAATAGCTTCCTCACTCAATCCAGTGCTCATATTTCCAATTTGATCCTCCAGGGCCAACAATCCTAATCCAAAGTCAATCATTTATGAGCCAAACTTCAATAATGGCAATGACAAAAAAAGAGCCATGTAAATGATTATTTCAATTTATTAGTGTTACCTCGTAAGACATATCGTCTACATCAAGACGCATATTTCATGCACATCAGGCTCCTCATAAGACAAAGGTTGTTCATGAACAATAATCCCATCCTGGCACACCACCATGAGTGCAAGTCGTAAAAAAATTACTGCTAACTAACAACTATACGGAGAACATGGACACGAAAACTCCAAGTTCCTGTCCATTTCCAAAAGCAAACACAAACTTGATAATCAAAGCATAAAATAAACCAACCAAAAGATCTAACCTCAACCCAATGTAGGACTTGCAAGGCACGCCAAATCTGCTTATGGCAAAAAGAAAGATATTTAGAGATTTGATTGGGTAAAGGGAAAAAATGTTAGAAGGGAAAAGCAAAACATTAAGAAAGAAGATGAAGATTAATAGTCGTAAAAAAATTACTGCTAACTAATAACTATATGGAGAACATGAACACGAAAACTCCAAGTTTCTGTCCATTTCCTAAAGCAAACACAAACTTGATAATCAAAGCATAAAATAAACCAAGCAAAAGATCTAACCTCAACCCAATGTAGGACTTGCAAGGCACGCCAAATCTGCTTATGGCAAAAACAAAGATATTTAGAGATTTGATTGGGTAAAGAGAAACAATGTTAGAAGGGAAAAGCAAAACATTAAGAAAGAAGATGAAGATTAATTAATGGCATACACACTGCTACATCTTCACAGGTACACAAGTTAAGTACCAAAGCTCAAATAAGTGCAAAATAAAACATGGACACGGGGGAAGAGAACAAAATTCAAGAGGACCCACATTCCCAAAACCTGCTTTTAAAAATAAAAAATAAAAACACACACGCGCACGCTCTCTTGGTTTTCATGTATTTTTGAACATAGGTCCTCTGATTAACCAAAACAATTAGAAAACATAGTTTACTAGTTCTATTGAGCATGGTTACATTGGATATGCCTAAATCAAAACCATGACTATTTATCCATAAAAGAAGGGAATCAAAGAAGACTCACCAGAGTGGAAATCCGGTGTTTGAACAAAACTTACAGATTTGAAAGAAACTTGGCAGTGTCAGAAAGCATAACAGCACAAAGGCAGCCCGGGTTCTGCCCTAATTTCTTCACCTGCTGGCAGCTGTTGTCGGGGACATCAGATTTCTCATCCTGTTTTGCCATTGCACAAGGGGCCAATTTCAAAGCCTCCATTTCTGGAGTAGACTTCCCACATGCCCCGACCCCATTTGCCCTTTCAAGCCTGCCAACGGTGACTATCACGAGGTCTTTTAATCATTTTGAATAATTTGAGAATTCATAGAAAATTGCAGAATTATTGTTAATATTTGAGATCAGTTTATATAAAAGGCATTCTTCTCAAATGAGCATGAACTATGACAAAGTTTGTAGATAATCAAAAGATGAAGAAAAGATGAAACAAAAATATGGCATTCAGTCTTTTTCAGATGCTACAATGGAGGATTCTAAGGGATTGAAGTGCATAAGTCATCATTAAGATAAAACTCAAGCAAAAACAAGTAAATAAACAACTATAATACACCCACAATACATGGTTTCAATCTCTCATATTGGTTTCCTATAACTAAAATTGCAAAATAAACAGAAATCAAACAAAATTCAATATGTAATTCACTACACACATCCACAATCCAAGAAAAACAAAACAAATACCAATTAAAGTAGATCTTAATTAGGACAATCTATCCCAACTCAAGTATAAGATTCTTGAAACTTAAAATTTTACAATCACAATTAAAATAAATTGGAAATCAAAGAAACACAATAAATTAAATCACTAATGTGTCCACAATTCAAGAGAAAGGGAAATAAGGAATGAGTTTATGCATACTCTGTCACTTTTTAGAGGCAATGCAGCTTTGCCTTTCTTGGGCTTAGTTGGGGTAACAACAACAGCACTTTCCAGAACACCCTCTTGGAGTTGTTCAGTTTCTTCTGCAAGCTCTGCTTCAGCAGCCAAAGCGGCCACAACAACTGGGGAATTGGGTGAAGAAACATCAATCCAATTGTTGGATTTTCTGTGGTTCTATTTTGATATTAAACAAATGTAGATACCACTGCAACAGACCTGAAATATTTGAAAGCACCAGGTCCAGGATTGAATTAAAATTCTTTTTATCACATATTAAATACATGGGTTGTTGCTAAATTTAGAATTCAGAAATCATTCCAAGAAAACCAATACAGGTCTTTCAACAAACCCACAAGATTCAAAATATATGAATTAATAATCAAACTAAAAATTAAATTTGGTTAACAAGATACAAGGTATCATGCTAGTCCCTTTGAATCCCACTTTATCAAAATAACAAGTATTAATTCATCAAAGAAGATTCCAACAAACCTGAGTCCAATGTCTGTAAGTAGAAAACAGGAAAAACACCATCACAACTATAATTAAGCTGTATAAAATAACTGTAGTGGCACCGATACAACTTGGATCCTTCTTCTTCTTGCTTTGTTGTAGCAGAGCTTGAGGTTTAATCCTTGCCATGATGTGTAAGCCTCAACTCCCAAGGATTACAAAATCCCAGGATCCAGCACTCAATTCCAAATCTCTATAACCAAACACCATTTAAAGGAATTCCATAACATATAAATCAAACAGCCAGGTTTCGGATCCAATCTGAACTTTCACAGAACTTCATAGGTATCTTTGAATAAGAAACACACACAATAACCAGAATTCAAGAGGATCAAAATACATAGACAAGTGAGAAAAATAATAACTTGGGATTTTTTTTTGAAGCTTGATCTACAACCTCGTACTAACAATCGATTAGGCAGCTATGAAGTAACAAAGAAAATTACATAGAAAAGTAAACAAAAACACTGCTTGGTACTGAGAAAAAATTGAAGTTTCAAATGTTAAAGATCTCAACATAATTCAATCGACTCAGTCCTTGACACACAACAATGAACAAAATCAAATCCTAGGACCAAGATTTGGATCGAACGATAGAGATTTACGTACTGGGAGAGATTTAGAGAACAATACAAACCATTCAAAATTTTAGTCAAAAATCAAAGAAGGTAGCCTATTCAAATCCACAACCCAACAAAAAAACAATTCAAAAACATAAAAAAAATCCTAAATAATTACAGATCTGAACCAAAACTTACAGAGAGAGATCCTAAATATACACTACTAAGCATTTGAGGATGTTAATATGCTCATAGGGACTAAAACTTACAGATCTGAACAAAAGCAATCAATCGATCAAATCCAGAGAGAGAGAGTGTTCGATATCGATCAATAGACTAAAAATCAATCGATCTGTGTTCTCTTTAACATAAATTAGTATATAGATATCACACAGATCTGAGATCGTAGATATAGATCTGTGTTCGTATATAAAAAAAATCAAAAAAGTTAGAGAATGAGACTCACAAAATTAATCTTCAAATCGGATTGATCGAGAGCTTTGAGCCAAGATGGAGAGAGTCGGATAGAGAGATCGTAAATCGGAGCCTACGATGCTCGATCTAGTGAACTTTCACCATAAGAAAGAGGAGAGTGATAAAGAGACAGAACCCTAGATCTATCTCAGGACTAACTGAGAGAAATGAAAAAATGAAAAACGCATGGGCCTTGAAAGGGAAAATATTTTGGTACAAGTAGCACGTGTTTTTCAAAATGAGTTACTTGTAAAGTATTTTTGAAAACTTTTGAAACAATGTTTTTTCAAAGAAAGCCATAGCAAAAACGTTGTTATAGCCTAATTTTCTTGTAGTGAATTGACAAAAAAATTTCGTAAATTGATGAAGAAAGATAATGCTGCTCACAATACTTTCAAGTTGATTGAGATTGAGTTGGGGTTGATGTATGACATGCTCTTTAGTAATGTAGGCACAATTTTTACAATATGTGGAAGCATTCTTAGACTCATTTGCATCTCTTGCAATGTCAACGTGTTGTGGGCTTTTTCTTAATTAAAAAGCCTGATGGGCATTTGAAAGGTGATCTTCCGATAACCATAATTTTGCTAGTTGGAGCCATTTGTTTAGAAATAGGTGGAGCTCTTGTGCAACTTGGTTCAGATTGGGCAATTGTTTGGGCATGTAAGCATTACCCAAGTAAGTTTGTCACTCCGGTTTTTCATCTTCACGAATTTGTGATCTCTAAAAACAAAAGATGGTCTAAGGTTATGGGACAATCTGGGTTAAACTTTTGCAACAAATATAAACCAACAAAGTTCAGCCTACCATCGCATAGAGTCCACCTTAGTATCAAAGAACTTATCATCTGTCGGCTTTGTAAGATATCACAGAAAGATTTGGAAGTTGAAACTCCACAGGCTTATACCATTAAAAGAGGTGAGTGGACCCTTAAAAAATATGGATTGGATGCTAATTGGAGTATCAAGCTAGAATTTGGCAAAACTATTGCCAGTTTGGCACGTTGCTACAGACATTTGCTATCGTTCAGAACCAGAAATTTCAAAGTCAGTCCCAAACAAAGTGGAAACAACCAAAATATTGTCATATTACATGATACATCTTCTGCTTTTTTGTCCTACTTTACCTTTCTGTAACAACAGTGAAAATTTTAAGCAAGCTTATCCTAATGTGGAGAAATTTTTTGAAGAAGCACAGTTTAATGGAGAAAAACTTGCCCCTAGTTTAATTGTGATGCAGGACAAATGGGAGATCATGAGTAATATATGGGTAGAGATGTGCTATGCTGCGAGCTGCTGCCCGATGAATCACCATGTTCAAGAGCTTAGGCATGGTGGACAGTTTCTCACACGTCTGGCTTCTACTTAAGCACTTGGGTGCAACAAAAATGTTGGAGAAAAATTCATCTCAACAATTGAATGACAAAGAAGACATAGAGTCAGAATTAATGGATGTTGTTGAAGATACAGGATGTTGCTTCTGATACCTTGAAATAAGTGTCAAATTTCTAGGAGATGAGCTCATGCAAGTTTGAGTCAAACCATTTAGAAATTCTAGTTTCTTGTGTTTTGCAGATGTTGTTTGATGTAGCTTTTGCTGCGTCCCCTAAAGCTTCTAGTGTTTGGCTTTGAGTTTTTTCTTGCTTTTAATTTCTGTGGTTTTGTTATGGTGTTAGTTTGCTTTAGTTGTAATGGCAAGGCTTCACTTGAATTGCATGATTGACTTGGTGGCACAAGAGAAGCCGGCTCTTTCTGACGCCGTGAATAAGTCTTAAGATCAGCTTTGTCCAAACGACCACCGATATCCAACTCCTCATCAACAGAACTTCTAGGCTCCCCCTCACCACAAATAACAGCCCGTTGAGTAGGAAGGAAAAAAGACAACTCATGCTGATATGATGTCGTTTCATCCGCAATCTCATCGATACCACGCTCCCCCTGAGGAGATGGCGGAGGACCAGAAAAGAATGACTCGAATTCACGGAAGGTGACATCCATACTAACGTACAGCTTATGAGAGTGAGGGTCATAGCATTTGTAGCCTTTCTGAGTAGCAGAATAACCAAGAAAGGCACACCGGACAGCCTTAGGATCAAGCTTCCCACGAGTACGAGGGTGAAGATGAACAAAACAGACACAACCAAAAACCCGAGGCGGAAGGGAAGAAGTGGGATAAGTCACAGGAAGAAGCTCAAGAGGAAGTTGGAAGTAAGGGACACTAGATGGCATACGGTTAATAAGGTAAGTCACGGTAAGAACTGCATCCCCCCAAAAGGACTTAGGAACGTTCATGGTAAACAAGAGAGAGCGAGCAACCTCAAGGAGATGGCCATTCTTACGTTCAGCAACTCCATTCTATTCAGGAGTGCCAACACAACTAGTCTGATAAAGAATGCCATGCTCGTCCAGGTATGCCCGGAAAGCGCCATCAACATACTCAGTCCCATTATCGCTCCTAAGAATTTTGATAGTAGCATTGAAGAGATTGGATACCATTTTATGAAAACTTTTGAAGTAAGAGAAAACCTCATTTTTTGTACGAAATAAATAAAGCCAAGTCACACGGGAATAAGAATCAATAAATGTGACAAACCAACGATAACCAGAGGTAGAAACAACAGGGAAAGGACCCCACACATCGGTATGAATAAGCATAAAAGGAAAAGTACTTCTTTTATTAATTGAAGGATAACAAGTACGTTTATGCTTAGCAAGCTCACAAGCATCACAAACAAAGTTATTCCTAGGACAATCACGAACTAATAAAGGAAAAAGTTTCTCTAAAATGCTAAAGGAAGGATGCCCCAAACGGCGATGCCACTGATGAAGGAGACGAAGGGAGGAGCCAGAAGAGCATTGCAGAGCCTGAGAGGACAAAGGTGAGGCAGGCATGGCATCCAGAAAGTACAGACCACTTTGTGCTCTACCACTGCCAATCATTTTCCCCGTAGCCAGTTCCTGAAAGACACAATGAGTCGGAAAAAAGGTTACAGAGCAATTGAGAGCAGTAGTAAGGCTACTAACAGAAAGTAAGTTAGTTGAAAAATTAGGAACATGAAGAACAGATGAAAGCGAAAGTAAAGAGGTGCAACGAACAGAACCCTTGCCGGAGATAGAAGATAAAGTGCCATCAGCCACTCTAACCTTATCTCGCCCAGAACTAGGTGAATAAGAATGGAAAAAACTAGATGTGCATCATTCCCTTGTTGAGAATACATCTGAGAGGCTGCTATCCAGATCTTGTGAGCAGTATCCATCAAGAGAAAAGTCCGACTAATGGTAGGGTCCATAGAATTGATGAGCCAGGTCATAACTAAAGCATTCTCAGAAATTCATTGAGCAGATAAAGCACTATCCTCAGTAGGTGGCACGGTACTCCCAGTAATATAGCCAGTCAAACGCCGGGCAACAATGGCAAGACTAAAGGAGCGGAACCAAATTAAGTAATTAAAACCATTAAGTTTGACTGGACTAATCTGGAGAGAAGGACTATCACCAAGAGTAGGACCACGACTCAGTCCACTCTCCTCCTTGCCCTTAGAGTCCTGACCCAAGTTGTCAGCCATGAGATGAGAAAAGAGGGTGCAAAAAACACAAGCTGGATATCAAACAAGTCCAGAAATCACCCAACCAGCACACCAAAAACACCTTCTAAGGCTAAAATAGTCCAAGAGAAGTCCAAAATAGAGCAACCAAATCAACTAAAAGCCAGAAAATCGAACCAAAGCATTTGAACAGCGATAAAAAAACCAAGATAGGGCCAAAATACATCAAACCAAGGACAATAAACCCTCTAGGGTTCCAGTCGGCTCCCAAGGATAGGAGAATAAGGGACAGAACCAGAAAAAATAGGATCAAACAGTGATTTTCGAAAAATCACCCAATTTTGACGAAAAATCAAAAAAATTAGAAAACTCAATCAATAATGACCAAACAATCAAAATGAGATTATAGGGTAATTACCCATTAATTTTTGAGCATACTGTATTTTTATTTTATTTTTATTTTTTTTAGCTTTGCTTTGCTATAACAGACGTACCAGGAACAGTATGAAGCCTAAGGAACAATCTTCAAGGAAGAAGATAGTGCTCTGATACCATGTTGAATGTATAGATGAGAAGAAGAAGAAGAAATAGAACAAGAGAAAGCTGTTGTATAATATTGATTCAAAAAGCATAGGGTTTCCCCCTTACACAACTACTTATACTAATAAGAATAATACATAAAGACCAAACTACCCCTAACACTTAACAAGTATATATATATATCACACAAATCTGAGATCTTAGATACAGATTTGTGTTCGTATATAAA